CAATACTTTATGATAAACCTTAAATATGTCAAAAATAACACTAAGGTTGTAAAGATACATAAACTTTATAAAAAAAAAATAAAAAATTCAGGCTTATGGTCCGGGTACACAGTTATCGTCCTTTGATTTTCGTTGTCCACGAATATAGTCCCTAGTGTGGACAGTGTGTTACTTGTCGATTTTTTTTATACCCCTTCCGAATTTATTTCTCCATGTTTTATGACTCAAATAGTAAGTAGGGGGGTGAAATGACACTGTAAAAAAATTTGGGTCATGAATTTTAAAGTAAAGTAGTGATTTGGTCCAGCTGAAAAATGTTAAAAATTAGCACATCGGAAGCTGTCAAAAGATTTGAAGACCCCCTTAGCATGAAATTGTCCATATTTTGAGTTAGAGCCGATGAAGTTTTCTATAATTTTGATATAATTTGTCCCAAAAGTAGTACAACACACTGTAAAAATATTATTGAGAAAGCGCAGGTGGGATTTTTTTAATTTCCATTTATTGTCTAAAAGAAATGCACTACGAAATAACTGTGTACTCGGACCTAAGAGGTGAAATCAGGAAATATAGAATCTGTACTTTGGCAACTTCCCTGAATGATTTGATGGTGTCAATTTATCAAATAGCATAAAACTAAAGGATTTAAACTTTTATTTGATAGAATTTCTGCAAAAATGACCAATTTTGGCATTTTATGGTCAAAATAAGCATTTCATAGCTTTTTCAATTTTGATGCATAAGTGGCATTCTGACTTTCTATCTGACAGGTTTTTATGTGTCAATATTTGTGTTTCTATGTTTCAATCCAGTTGTATTACTCATTTGTGAACTCTGAATCTACAGAAAAGAAGATTATCTCAGACAATATGCGCAAAATGTGTTGTATATATGATCCTCGTCTAACGCCCTGTTTGGATCAAGTTAAATGTGAGGAGCTTGGAACATAAAAGTTGAAGTCCATTATAAAGACCTTACTAAATTTGTATAAAAAGCACTTAACAATGTCTTTTGTACCTGTTTTATGTCACATAATACCTTTCTTTTCTTCTGTAGGATAGCAAGTGGTTCAAATATAAGCCTGTTGAGACTAAAATTGCATGCATGTTTTTCACTAAAAAGTGAAAAATCTTTGTATCAGACCATACTGTCTGCAAAAAAAGTTGAATGCAAGAGTCTTTTTGTGCTCAGATTTATTGTATCATGTCACCTGAGTATAGAAATGATAGAAAAGACACAAAATTTTATTTCATATAGCTTCAATATGCATTTTTAAATGTAAATATGTGATACGGCCTAAATTGACCCTAAATTATTTTCAGTCTTACTTGGCCTAAGACCCTTTTAAGCTAATGTGATATGTTATTTGTAAGTTTTCTTTCCATTTAAAGTACATTAAATACATATGTAAGGATTATTTATAACCAAAAAGCTTTACAAATTTAAAATTGCTGGAAAATATTACATCTTCATGTAAGGCCCCCCTTCATTGGAAAACCTCCATTTTTAGCCACAGGCTCATATAAATTTGACTTTTTAATAATTATGATAAGTCTGATGAATCAAATGAGTACTCTATTGCTTTTAATACATAATATATTATATATTAAGGCATTTCAAAAGTATTTTTTTGCAATATTTTAATTTTTTAAGCCTCAATTGTTGATAGTTGAAAATTTTCAATTTTAACGTCTAAATTTAACACTCAAAGTTCAATATAGAATTAGTCATATTGTCTATAATATATATCCTATTGCCATGAAACTTTGTAAGCAGTCTTATAATTTAATAAGCTTTAGTCATACCAAGTTTCATTAAGATTGGTCAACTTTTTCTACCCTATTAGGTCCGGGTACACAGTTATCGTCCTTTGATTTTCGTTGTCCACGAATATAGTCCCTAGTGTGGACAGTGTGTTACTTGTCGATTTTTTTTATACCCCTTCCGAATTTATTTCTCCATGTTTTATGACTCAAATAGTAAGTAGGGGGGTGAAATGACACTGTAAAAAAATTTGGGTCATGAATTTTAAAGTAAAGTAGTGATTTGGTCCAGCTGAAAAATGTTAAAAATTAGCACATCGGAAGCTGTCAAAAGATTTGAAGACCCCCTTAGCATGAAATTGTCCATATTTTGAGTTAGAGCCGATGAAGTTTTCTATAATTTTGATATAATTTGTCCCAAAAGTAGTACAACACACTGTAAAAATATTATTGAGAAAGCGCAGGTGGGATTTTTTTAATTTCCATTTATTGTCTAAAAGAAATGCACTACGAAATAACTGTGTACTCGGACCTAAGCTTATCAAATATATACAAATTACAGGGTTACACTTAAAACCTGAAGGTGGACCTGGAAAGACCTGAAATATTCCATTTGATTTATTTAAATTTTAATAACTTTTGATTTAACAATGAATTTTATTACATTATAAAAATAATAATAAAACATTGTGTAATGCCAAAACTCAACCCTTAACTGGGAAATAAAGAGACCTGAACAGACCGGAAATTCTAGTCAGACTTTTTTAATACTTCAATAACTTTTTTATTTTTCAATGGATCTCCTTCAATTTTAAATAGACTTGTTATCAAATCTTCCTTATCATAATATAAGTGCTTACAATGGTAACACATATTATACACTGGTTTGGATGTCCTGTACTTGGCAATCGCAATACTGGTATTCCAGTATTGTGTACAAGGAATAAAATTTGCTGTTCCAGTATTGTGTACAAGGAATAAAATTTGCTGTTCCAGTATTGTGTACAAGGAATAAAATTTGCTGTTCCAGTATTGTGTACAAGGAATAAAATTTGCTGTTCCAGTATTGTATTCCCGCATTGTACCAGTATTGTGGTTTAAAAAAAACTACATCAGGTGGCATAACATAACAAATGAAATATGACAATTTCATCAGGTATAATTAAAAAATACTAAAAGTAGTAATTATAATGATCTATAATAATAATTAATGATATGAAAACGAACATTTTTTCGAACTAATACTCATATTAACATCAAACCATTGAATTCAATAGGGCTTTTTCTATATATGGAATTAAACTTATATTTAGAGTAAAAAAAAAGTTAAATGTAATGGTAATAGAACTGACTATGGTGTAATTTTAGTATACTTATGTGAAAACATCATTTCATTTTTTGTAATTGATAAAGTAATTATTCAGATTGATAAAATAACAATAATTAGCCATTTTCATTTATACTGGTGTTGGAGGGACTTGTCCCCTTAGGGTGTTTATTTACCTATATGATTCGAAGCAATTAAATATTATATTCACTCTTATAGACTGCACTGAAATCAAATGCATTTTTCGAACTATGGATTGATTCAAACAAAGGTGAGAATAAATCCCAAAGTATCCCAAAATGTGCAAAACTTAATTCTATTCTTCCTACATGAATATGAAAGGACATTTATGGAGAAAACTGGAAGAAATTGAATAGTTTATCCCCTGAAAATGACTCTCAATTTGTATTTGTATAAAATCTATATATTTAGCAATAATACTATGAAACTACAATACATCTTAACTACTTTGAGTAAAAAAAGGTTGAAAAATCATATTGTCCAGTAATATCCCAACAATATCATCAGCATTGTTATACCAATATATATTAGGCACTGGCTACGGTTACATTGAAATGTAACAATAATAAAAAAGTTATTGTTACATTGGAGACTAATTGCCGGAATGCAGGGTTGGATAAGGATCTGATTAATTATGAATGTAACAATAATATTTGTGTCTACGGAGATTTATTAAACTTTAACCTTCTATACTTTTGTTGCTCAATTCTTTGATATGTACTTGATAATAATAGTAATAATATCAATAATATTGATAGTATTATTATTATTATTATTATTACTATTATTCAACAAATAGTGTTTAGATAGTTTTAAGTACTAATTATTTTAATATTCTTCACGATACTACTACAGTTTAGTAGTGCCAAAGTCAAAATATATAGTTCAATGGTTCGATGTTAAGAAAATATTTTTCACCTGAAGGAGAAACATATATTGTATTATATGTCTCTGCTTGAAGCATGGCAGACATATAAGTTTCTATAACTTCAAAAATGGATATATTGCAGAGTGGAATTGAAACGTCTGCAAAACCGACGTGCACATTGCTGCATCACTCATTTGTGATGGCTGCCTAGATTGGTTTCACCAAAAATGTGTCTGACTGAAACATGCTCCAAAAACAACATACTGGATGTGTAGAAACTGCTATGGTAAATAAAAATTTAAAAAACTGTATGCAATATTGTAAAATTCAAATAAAAGTTACTTTTTTTTATTATACATATTACTTAAGTCCCAGCATACATCATGATACATTGAAGTGCATTAACGTAATAATAACACAATGCAGTGGCGATCCAGGGGGGGGGGGGGGTTCCTGTGGTTGTAACAATAACTTATTTATTATTGTTACATTTCCATGTAACCGTAGCCAGTGCCTATTTATTATTTTTTTTTTTTACAATACTGGAACAAAATTTATTTATATTCTAGGGTATACCAGTATTGCGATCGCCGAGTACAGGAGATCCCGCTGATTGTTATAATTTTTATGATACAGCTTTGAATAATTCCTTTGTCTTATTGTTACAAAGGGTTGCAATTACTGGTTTAAACACAGTGACCAGCTAGAATGCATAGCATACAGTACTGGGAGAGGCAGGCCAAAGAGAAGCTCAGAATATATATACATACCCGAAGATCCTTTTTACAGAAAATGTAGATTTAATTTTAACTATTTTTAGTCAACTTACCAGTGATGCAAGCGTTGAAGAAAGGGCGATAACTGCTTTGTTTATATTTCTTTTTTCCGATACTCAACCCAAATATTTTTAAATGCACATGAAACAAAATACACAGTCAAATTGTATAGCTTACTGTTTATTTTAGACGATTTGCACTGTTAAAAGCTACCTTTTTTTCCATGTAACAGTGTAATGAAACGTTTTTTAAATCGTAAATGGCCGTTGCAGTGTATCCTATGATTTGTTTTTGCCTGGTTGTAGTTTAAACCGTTAACGCCCACGAGCAACTTCCGGTTCATGTGAACCGGTGTCACTGTCATTGAGGTCGAAATCACTTTTTTATGTAATACGGACAAAGAGCATCTAGAGTGCGACATTTAAATCCAAAAGACACATCATTTATCAAGTAAGAACATATCCGTGCTGGACGGAAGAAAAATACAGAAGATAAACTCTATTATTGAATAATTCCGCAATGTCAGACACAAATAGTAACAGCACTGTTCCGGAGACTTCCCACGTTCCTGTTGTTTTAATTGAAAATGTTAACCCGAACGTTAGGAACATGGAATATGCTGTCAGGGGACCAATTGTTGCGAGGGCTGCAGAAATTGACTCAGAAATAAAGAGTGGTGTAAAAAAACCATTTGCTAAAGTTCTGCCAGCAAACATAGGGGACTGTCATGCCACAGGTCAGACTCCTATAACTTTCATTCGACAGGTAATTGCCTTATGTGCTTATCCTGAACTGTTGACAAGTCAAGAATTTCCTGCAGATACAAAAGAAAGAGCTAAAAGAATATTGGCAGGTTGTAGAGGAGGAAGTATTGGGTCTTACAGTGGTAGCCCTGGTGTAGAGGTTATACGCCAAGATATTGCAGAATACATTGCAAAGCGTGATGGAGTTCCAAGCAAAAGTGAGGATGTAATCTTATGCACAGGTGCTAGTGATGGTATCAAAACTATACTCAGCATGCTGATGACTGGCAAAACAGGAAATGAAAGAGCTGGAATAATGATTCCCGTACCACAGTATCCTCTGTACTCAGCAACACTTACTGAATACAATGCCCAACCAATACGATATTTCATGAATGAGGAAAACAATTGGTCTTTGGATATCAGTGAACTTAGGAGAGCTATTGAAGAAGCAAAATCCAAATGTTTACCTCGAGCGATTTGTGTAATTAACCCAGGGAATCCAACAGGCCAGGTGTTAACACGGAAAAACATTGAAGATGTCATCAAATTTGCTCATGATGAGCGGTTGATGATTTTGTCAGATGAAGTTTATCAACACAATGTCTATGCTAAAGGATCAGAGTTTTTCTCATTTAAAAAGGTTTTAATGGAAATGGGTGCACCATATAATAGGCATGAACTTGCATCTTTTATGTCAGCATCAAAAGGTTTCATGGGAGAATGCGGGTTCAGGGGTGGATACTTTGAAGTTGTCAATTTTCACCCAGCAGTAAAAGCCTGCTTGCTGAAGACAATATCAGTAAAGCTTTGCCCACCAGTTGCTGGACAAGCTGTTATAGATTGTGTGGTCAACCCACCTGTCCTTGGGGATCCATCTTATGACCTTTTCATGAAAGAGAAAACACATGTTCTGTCTCAACTTAAAGAGAAGGCAAACTTAGTCACTGAACTTTTCAATTCTATTGAAGGTATCAAATGCAACACAGTTCAGGGAGCAATGTATTCTTTCCCACAAATATTTCTGCCACCAAAGGCCATAGAAGCTGCAAAGGCTAAAGGCCAAACACCAGATTCTTTTTATTGTTTCTCACTGCTGGAAGAGACAGGACTGTGTGTAGTACCAGGAAGTGGATTTGGACAAAAAGAGGGAACCTACCATTTCCGAATGACCATCCTTCCTCCTCTAGAAGAAATAAGAAGTGTGTTGCAAACTTTTAAAGAGTTCCATTTGCAGTTTTTATCCAAGTATAAGTAAATACTGGTAGGTACAAATCTATAAATTAAATCTTTGAATATTTGAAAAGAGTTATATATAAATGTGCAAAATACAAGTGAAATATTAAGGAAGAAGAAATAAAAGATGATGAGGGAATGAACATGATACAACAGTCTCATTAGATAAGGGTCATATTGATGGATTGCTGTCTCATTGATGTACAAAAAAGATGTATACCCCACATCTCCTTTTATTCGTGTGTTAATAGATATATTCTACATGTTACCCATGGTTATATTTACTGTTAAAGTTTTATGATAAAATAAGGGAATGTGGTATGATTGCATTCAGGACAAATACCCACCAATGACTGTTTTTTTTTTAAAAGGATGTGAAAGTGAAAACTTGTAAATGTAACAAATATTATAAAGTAAATGTAAATTAATGAATGCAACCAGTTCTATAAACTGTTCATTATTTATTGTGAGCATTTGTTGTAAAATTTTGTTTTTTGTTTCAGTTAAGTTGGCATATGGATCACCAAGATTTTCTGGTAATGACCTTCACCTGTGTACTTTCATAAATAAATGGAGGAGTTGTGATAGAAACAACATATTGTGATATTTTAAAACCAATTTTTCAAAATAAACTGCTTTAAACTTTGAATGAAACCGGTTATGAGTTATTTCCCTTTAACTACTCTATGTGATTGATGTTTACATGGTACAATATGACCTATAATCATGATAGTCCTATATGTCTCTACAATCTCACTGTGCCATGTTAGTTTTTCCAATGTATTTGAAATATAGTTGATATTATAGATTTTTTTTCTGTTAATATTATTAGTGTATTATATATCAATGAGTCAGAGAGATATTTTCAACACTTTTTCTTCTGCTGTAATATGCTATTTTGCAAAAAGTATTATTAAAGTAACCTATATTGATTAGAATAATTGTTATACTTAATAAATTATTATAATAATTTATTTTCATGAATATTCTGGAACTGAGAGAGAAGATTTGTGTTCAGTGGTTTGAGATTATGACCAATAATTTCTACTTTTCAAATTATTTTTACCTGTAACCCATTTTCTTGGCTAAAAAGTAACATGACAAGAGCTGATCATCACAACTGATGATCATAATTTACCATTACTTAGATGATGATAGATTTCTGTTTATTTGTAATATGCCCTGTTACATTTTATTTATATTAATGAATTTTATAATTTGTATATGCTTAAAAGATATTCACAATATAGACATGATAGATATAAGAAGATGTGATATGATTGCCAATGAGACAACTCTCAATCCAAGTCAAAATTTATAAAAGTAAACCATTAAAGGTCAAAGTACGGTCTTCAACACGGAGCCTTGGCTCACACTGAACAGCAAGCTATAAAGGGCCCCAAAAATTACTAATGTAAAACCATTCAAACGGGAATGTATTTTTTTAGTAAGTTTGTGTGTTAATTTTTTCTGTTGGCAGATGCAATGTTTAATTAAGATTTTGATGTCACTCTAATCCGTTAACTTGTGATTTAGAATGATTGCTTGTTGTTTCATATTTGAAAGCTTTTACCGTTCTTGAAGTTTGTTAGAATTGAATTCAAGTGATAATGCTGAGTTTGGTATCAATAGATATAAGAAGATGTGGTATGAGTGCCAATGAGACAACTCTCCATCCAAGTAAAAATTTTATAAAAGTAAACCATTATAGGTCAATGTCTATAATTCTAAAAAATATTAATAATCCTTTATCTTAAATGATAAACACGTCTTGTCTGGTAGCTACTGTAAAACTAAATAGATAATAATTTATATGCAGTTATCTCCCTTCCTATGTGGTTTACGATTTGCCATAATGAGAAAGATTTTTTGTCCATATCTGTGGGTATTCTGAAAGTGATTCAGTAAAAACATTATTCATTAATGTACATCTGTGATTTACAACTGCTTTATTTTAAGAAGACTCAACTTTTAGCATTTTAATAATTGAAGTTTATCTTTATATTAGAATATCCACAAAAGCTTTAATAACTAGAATTTTGGTTATGGTGCTATTTACTGTTATTTTTTTGTTTTGTTTATATATACAGATGCATATATTTAGTCTAAGAAAATAGGGACCTATTTAGCCTGTTTTCTGAAAATAGGATCCTTATATGTTCTTTATTTGTAGTAAATTGTTTAATTTCTGTTTTGTTAAAGATTGTTAACTTAATGTATTATTAGTTTGCCCAACAAAGTTAAGGACTAATAGTGTATCTTTTGTGTTAACATCAATGACTGGACTTGCATCTTGAAAATTGAAAGACATAGGTCATGCAAAATTAAAAGATTCTTAAAGTATCATCTGATTTTGCAAGCATATATATGTCTTATAATGAAGATGGTCCCATACCAAAGTAGGTCAACATGACCAATAATTGATGCTTCTGTGACTTTAATTTTGTTGTTTAATTTCCATGTTGAAGATCATGTGAGTTGAAGATTTATCTTACTTGTATGTAGCTAGGTGTATCCTAATGAGTAGGTTGGAATCCAGTTGAAAGTAGGTTACTCTGACCTAAACTTTTTTACAAATGACCGGTTTAAGTTTATTTCAAAATTTATCTTTGTTATTGTAAGTTGAGAAGGCTAGTATTCAGACCAATTCAATTTGATTGCTGTTGATATTTTAATGATTTTTGCCTCGCCTTGACGGAGTCCAAAAGCGAGACATAGATATGCTGTTTGCGGTGGCGGCTTCAATAATGTATTCGTTTGTGATTAGGTCTAGTTCATGGTGAACCACCAGTGGTAGGTCAATGATATTTGGTATGCAGTTGTATTAGCATTGGCACATCTCATTACCATGGAGATTATTTGGCCCTGCCCCCTCAGTCAAGGTCTATTGACTTTGAAACTTTGCTTAGTTTACATGTATTAGTTTGTGATTAGGTCAGTTTATGGGGAACCACTAGTGGTAGGTCAATGATATTTGGTATGCAGTTGTATAAGCATTGGCATATCTCAGTGCCATGGAGATAATTTAGCCCCGCCATCTCATTCATGGTCTATTGACTTTGAAACTTTTGCTTAGTTTTCATGTATTAGTTTGTGATTAGGTCAGTTTAAGGGGAACCGTTAGTGGTAGGTCAATGATAATTGGTATGCAGTTGTATAAACATTAGCACATCTCATTTCCATGGAGAATATTTGGTCCTTACCCCTCAGTCATGGTCTATTGACTTTGAAACTTTTACTTAGTTTACATGTATTAGTTTGTGATTAGGTCAGTTTAAGATGAACCACTAATGTTAAGTCAATGATATTCGGTATGCAAATGTATTGGCATTTGCAAGTTTCATTTCCATGGAGATTATATAATCCCACCTCCTAATTATGGTTCATTGTCTTTAAAACTTTTACATAGTTTACAAGTTAATGTTTGAGTTTAGGTTTGTTTAAAGGGAACGACTTATGAAAAGTCAATGGTATTTGGTTTGCAGTTGTATTAGCATTGGCACATCTCATTTCCATGGAGATTGTTTAGCCCTGTACCTTCAGTCATGGTTCATTGACTTTGAATATTTGCATAACTTACATGTTAAAGTATTGCTATTTTAATTTCAACATTTGCATTATCAAAATAACGAATAGGCAAGACATATCTCTGTGTTAACAGTTTATGGTTCAATATTTTGTTCTTATGATGCATATATAATCAATGACATGGTCTTTCTGAAGAAAATATTAGTCTGCTTTCTACAATTTGAATGAATAACTGCATCATCTAGTGCATGTGTACTTAAGTGTTTGGGACACTATCTAGAAAATAACTAATCAGATCACCAGCTTTTCATGGTGATATGACTTTGGTTCAAGTTCATATCTTTATTCCTTTGAGTGTAGGATACTTAAAAACTTTATTGATTTGGACCCTATTGAGCCAGCTTTTGTTTAAGTATGATGGGCCATGCTTTATTGACTTTATTAAAAGTGTATAAGAGTGTTCATGCACTGACTGATGAAGTTGCACACTATGAAGGGGATTATTTTAGTGATTTATAGTACCTGCAGTTTGACCTGTTCTCGGGGATTTATTTTCACGTTTTTATACGACCGCAAAATTTTTTTTAGGGGGGTCAATTTTTTTTCCTCAAGATTTAAGAAATTGTCAATTTTCCAAAGAAAAAGATTGGGGGTCACTTTATTTTGCTAATTCTTTGTATATAGTCTGAAAACAGATATATTAAGTATTGTGCAACAGCACAGTGTATTGCACAGCAGCAAGAAATCTTCAATTGAATATAAATTCAAATCATACAACCAATTTCAAGTTCTTTGACACATTTGTTCTGTGTCAGAAACCTATAAAGTGTCAAATACTTAATTAATATCCAAATTCAGACCTGTATCAAGCTTGAATATTGTGTCCATTTTTGCCCCAACTGTTCAGGGTTGGACCTCTGCGGTCGTATCCAGCTGCGCTCGGCGAAGCAGTTTATTTTGTTTCTGATTCTAATTGTCCTATCATATTAACACATTGGGGTGTGTTCCCATTTTGATCTAAGTCATGAAAACATAAATCCCTTCCAAAAATCTTCCTCACTTTACAGAAGTTTCCAAGATGTAATAAATAACCATATTTGTGTCCATTGAATTATGTAATGATGCAATCTTTGCCATTTGTGATTAACAAAACTATAAATAAAAAAAAAGGAATGCCATGATTTAACTATACATCACATGTTTTATAATAGTTACTTATCAGTTAGTAAGAAACAACAAAAGTATTTCTATAATATTTTGAAAGTTTGTACTATAGCTTATGTTACTTAAAATAAGATTATTTGAATATTTTGTTATATTTACTGAATTTTGTAATGTTACACTGCTTTGAAAGTGCTTATATGCCTTAATTGTTAATGACTGTCTGCAATAGAAACTTAAAAAGTAAAAAATTGCAAATCCCTTTTTAGAGTTTTATATGCCTTAAATTGCTGCCAGGAATATTAATAATAAGTTTTGTCTTCTCTACCAAGAAAGTAGTTGATGTTTTTAAGACAAATGTTTATGTATGAGGTAGATGTAGTCCTTTGTTGCATAATTACTGAGGAACTTATGCAATGCTGTCACTATATTAAACTCTATGATTGGTTAATGAAAATTGTGATGAGGTTACTATAACATACTCTATGATAGGTCATCAAAATTTGTTATGAGGTCATCTTAACATACTAATACTTGGTGATAGGTCAATGATATTTGTGATGAGGTCACTATAACATACTATGTGATAGGCCAATGAAATTTGTGAGTAGCCTAGGTCACTATAACATACTCTGTGATAGGTCAATGAAATTTGTGATGAGGTCACTATAACATACTCTGTGATAGGTCAATGAAATTTGTGATCAGGTCATCTTAACATACTCTGATAGGTCAATGAAATTTGTGATTATGTCGCTATAACACACTCTGTGACAGGTTAATGAAATTTGTGATCAGGTCACTATAACATACTCTGTGAAAGGTCAATGAAATGTTTGATGAGGTCACTATAACATACTCTGTGATAGGTCAATGATATTTGATAGAAACTTACGTTACCTCCCAGTTTCAGTATATTGACTTAAATTTTATATAATTTATACATTAATAAAAGAAAATGTGGGTTGTACGCAAAAGAGACAGCAACCCCACGACATAAATAGCCAAATGACATCTAGAGGGTGATGCTTAAAAGTTCATTGACAACATATTTGTTACGTTTGGTGGATTTGTTTTTCAACGCACAGCCGGCAAGCAACGTGCACCAATTGATATCCTTGTATCGCCGACTTGTTCCTTTATTTGTATAAAGGCAGACTTCATTCATATGTAGTGGCTTCTAAAGAAGAATGAAAGAAAATAAAGATACTCATTTTACTTCAAGTTCCGCTATAAAGATAATGTCATCCCATTGTTTGATGACTATGTTGATCGCATTTACCCCAGTGTAAACCGTATCGAATGCGGGAGGTCGTGGGGTAGACTACTGCTGGATCAAACCAAAGACTAAAATTGGTATTTGCTGTAATTTCACCGCCATTCACACAACGTTTTGGGGGTAAAAGCAAAGACTGGATCATGATAGTGTGTCTCAGTAGACCAACATGCATGACATATTTGCCACTGGACGTTAAACAACCAACAATCAATCAATCAGTAGATCGATATGTCTTCCCGTGAACCGTAACATTGTTAGATAGCACATTTAAAATTACACTCTGAGCGTCAATATAGAATTGATTGAGGTATAACCGGGGACAGTAATGTTACAGTGGTGGATAGTTGTTTCATTGACAATCATACCACATCGTCTGATTATTATATTGAAGTCATCTCTTCGAAAGATTTACGGACGCCATAACGATTTGATCGACCGGCATTAAATATATTGTGTCTCCGTTGACCACGAATATGTTTCGCTTGTCGCACGTCCTCTTTTAATTGTTTAAGATATTATCGAATTTGTTATTCCAGAAATCCCCCCCCCCCCCCCACCCCACCTTAAAAGAAGATATGCCAAGTCCAATTTTTGTTCCTGAGAGACATTTTTCAGATTTTGCAAAAATGTTAGGAATTCAACCTATTTGTGTTACCAATATTTTTTTCGAATCTAAAAAGATCTGAAAATACATTATCTTCGTTAAGGTTTGAGAGGGGGAAATAGTCTGTTCGACTGTTGAAGGCCGTACGGTTGCTTATAATTGCTTACATCCACTTCATTTGAACTTTGGTGGATAGTTGTCTTATTGGCAATCATACCACATCAACTTATTTTTATATTCAGACCTTTTCAGTCGTTTATTGTCATTTGAACTTGGTCCTATTTTAAAATGCAATATGTCTTATGACCTTGACTTCATTAACATCCTCTCGTAGTCAAGGCTAAATTTCCAGGATTAGTTTGTTCCTCAATTAAAATTTATGATAAGTTAACACTATTTGGTATTTAGATTGTTTTTACAAGTGTTTAAAATATGACCTTTCAGATTGGACGTTTTACATTTGCGCGGAAATAATATAACATTTGCGCAAAAGAAATATTACATTTGCGCGACTTTTACCTATATATATATATATTAACATATATATTTACCATGCTAGTTTTTACCAAACAACGCAAGATCAAAACATTGGGTTTGAGAAAATAGTACAAAGAAAAATCTAGTATATCATTCGGAAATGGCTCAAAATGTTCTCCAATAGTTTTTCTTGAACCAAACGTTCTTGGTGGCTGCTTTGCTGAGTAACTGATGGATACAATACATGATGATACCTTTCGTTTGCAGATCATAATGTTGTAGAGAACTACATGTCTCCAGATTCCAAGTTCTTTGGATTTAAATATACTGCTAGAACTGATGTATAAAGCACATGACTTGAATAATATGTTTAGTTCTTTATAGTGCTTACGGTTAACGAATCTATAGTGTGATTTTATGATTCCTCAGTATAATTATAACATTTAAAAGTAAATATTATAAACTGTCTTGACCGCCAATATATATTTCAATTTAGACTTTTATATATTTTTTCGTTTGGGCTTGTATTATATTTTCCTTCTGGTTTATATGATCCGTTCATCCTATTTGGACTCTTTAAAATTCAAGAGTCTTTCCTAAATTGAGGTAAATTATATGGCCTTCCAAATACCGTTTCGATCCCTAACATCACTGAAGAGACATTAATTGTCGAAATCCGGATATGGTGTACAAATTTTTGCACCTCATGTTTGTGGTATACCATCTTTTCCACAAGTTTATTGTTTTCTGTTTGGTATTAAATTAATATTAAGATCCATTTTGTTAGATCTGGTGATCAATTTATTTGGCAATCGCCAATGGCAGTCAGCAGGGTTTAAGAACATCAGTTGTTCGACTTGTTAGTCAAATGCGTTTTGTTAAAATAGACTTTTTCACTTTTTTGGTCTTTTGGAAATTGTTGTTTGTGATGTATTTAGACCCCTCTACCAAGCAATTTGTTTTACATGCACACGTATAAAAATTGCGGTTTTTATCCAACGCAATCATAGGTTTGAACGTTGTTTTCAATTTAGACTTAAAAGTCTAAATTGAAAACAACGTTCAAACCTATGATTGCGTTGGATAAAAACCGTTGTTTTCAATTTAGACTTAAAAGTCTAAATTGAAAACAACGTTCAAACCTATGATTGCGTTGGATAAAAACCGCAATTTTTATACTTAAAAGTCTAAATTGAAAACAACGTTCAAACCTATGATTGCGTTGGATAAAAACCGCAATTTTTATACGTGTGCATGTCTAAATTGAAAACAACGTTCAAACCTATGATTGCGTTGGATAAAAACCGCAATTTTTATACGTGTGCATGCAAAACATATTTCTTAGTAAAGGGGTCTAAATACAGCATAAACAACATTTTCCAAAAGACCAAAAAGTGTGACAAAGTATATTTTAACAAAACGCATTTGACTAGCATACACATCTCCAGTTATTTGAACATGTACTACATGTATATATAAAACCACCTGACGAGTACCCTTGGCAGGGAAGAAACAGTTTGTAAATGTCATATTCACCTGTAAATTACTATTTTTAAAACCGCGCAAATTTAATGCAAATCCGCGTATATGTAATGCACCGCGTTCGAATTAGGTCTGCTCCTTAGTAACTATTCACGATAAGTCAACTATATTAATATTTTGTGGTAGGGTGATTAGTTGCAAGGATTGCATGTTCATTTGTAATTTTTCAAATGTCATTGATATCATTTTCATTCTCAAGTATCTCAATCTACTTCGTAAACCCTGAATTTTGATTCAACACCAGAGAAAGCAGACAGAAGTATACTGTCATTCATCGCGCCAAATATCAAAAGAAATATATTTCCTCAACCTGGTCAAGATTGCAGTCTTTGTTTTGATGGTCATCACATTGAAGAAATCAGCCAAAAGACAACTTGACAACGATGATGTGATGATGTGTCTTTACCAAAGCGACGCAAACGCAATGATATGCTAGACCATATTTTATTATTCCATGACTGCCTTATAAAAGACGTCCACAATAAAAAAAAAACTAATAGAAAGTGGTCTAATATTTCATTTAAAAATTTTGTTTAAAAGGACGCACGTCTAAATGCAGAAAAGTGTTAAAATGCCTCGTTTAGAGATTTCGAGGAGATATACCGTTAGTCGAATGCGTGAAATTTATTATAAAAAAAGCGGATAAACACATCAGTATTAACAGCAATTTTCTTGTGAAAACCATTTCACCATCCCGAGATCGCTTCGACAAAGGAACATTTACAGCAGTTTTGACATTCGAGATGATTGCTAATTTAAAACATTTGAAAACTCGCCAACAGTTTTTATGAAACCATTCCACCAAATTTCTTTTTCCATTATGATACCTGCATACAACAACACTTTAATGGTAGCAATCTCTACAAGTTTGCCGGGAGAAGTGTTTGGAAATTTGATGAAGATATCTAAACAAGTACCAATGAGTAAACGCCACAACCTACTGTAAATCTAGACTATTCGACCTCATAGTGTGAAAAATTATTATGTAGAATGTTTCGGTCCACTGAAGACAACCCTCAAGCTGATAACGTGACACGTTTGTGTGAAGGGGTGTGCAAACTGGTAGTTTGTTCTGCCATTTAACCAAAGTACACTGCATGATACGTATATAGCAATATCACATGAATACACGAATACAAATCCGGAAGTTATGAAGGAAACAAATTATGAGACAGCAAACAAACTCTTTACGTTAAAACTAAAGTATACATTAAGAAGTACACGAAAGTTTTAACGCTGAATAAAACAAGAATCAAGCGAGTTTTTTTCATAGGCTTTAATATGTCATAATTTATAATAGATAAAAAACAGATAACAGAATAACAATAAACAATTGAATAAACAGCTTATAAAATTTAAGCACTTGTATTTTATCACATAAGAATTGTAGCACTAGATATTTGACCAGAAGTTTTGTTTTAAAATCGCATTGATTTTCTTGCATATCGTCTTTTTTCTCCTGCTGTCCATGATTTGGATTTTGCTCGAAAGTGGCGTAAATCTGTTGAATGGTCAGAATGAAGCATTGGTCGGTAGCTGATCGGGTCACATAGTTCAGGATTTTCGCCGAAGAAGGCTTTGTATCCACCATCAAGAAGATAAATTTCTGGAAAGTTTAATGCTGGGTAGTTTTCTTTGTTTAGTTCCCTGTCTTTGCTCCTGAGGAATCTTAACATTTTTGGACCTCTTTCTGATGAAAACTCACAGTGAAAGATAAGAACTTGTTTTTCTGTTGTTGGGTTCTGAAGCAGAGTTAAAATTGTCTCGTGTAAATACATGTTTTCCGCCCCTCTGACATGCCCACCTTCAAATTCGTATGGGTATCTACAGTCGATTATCCGGAAACTATCTATTACGCCATCATAATGACCTTCAACAAGGTCAGCGAGAATCTGTGGTGAGATGCTCTTTAAATCTTGATGCTTTCCCTGTACTGTTGGTAAACTGTATGTTCTACTACCGTCTGCTATCAAATGATCGTTTTGTGTGAGAATATTTACAACTGTCTTCACATCGTCATTGTGTCTGCGTCGCTTTGGTAAAGACACGTCATCGTTGTCGAGTTGTCTTTTGGCTGATTTCTTCAATGTGGTGTTGACATGACCATCAAAACAAAGACTGCAATCTTGATCAGGTTGAGGAAATATATTTCTTTTGATATTTGGCGTGACGAACGACAGTATACTTCTGCCTGCTTTCTCTGGTGTTGAATCAAAATTCAGGGTAACATTTGCTGATTGCATAATGTCCACATCATCAGAGTTCTGGAATAGTCTTCGGGAAATCATGTTTATCAATATTTCAACAGCTTTGTAAAGTTTTATTTTGCACTTTAAAAGCATGCAGGATATATACCCAAAATTTTGACTGGCATTAAGTAATTTTCTCTCTGATGTAGGAGTCCTGCTCATCTCATTACTCACATTATCCAATAATGTTTACCTAAAGCCATAACGATATAGCTTGGACAATGATTGCTTTGTCACTTGACCCTTTCAACCTTGATTGATTCGTCAACTTTTCACTGGTACTGAATACCATGTAATAATTGACTGTCAAAATAGTTCATTATATACCGAACTATCTGTTGTTTAGATCCCTGAGATAAATTCACCTAATTAATTCCAAATAGAATGCTTAATTGGTTAGTTCGCTTAATTTGTCTTTTTCTAATTAAATATATTTATTTATTGTCCAGTGAAATATTGTGTAATACTTTAAAAAGAAGAATATATTCATAATTCTGACATTATGTAATTTGCCTTAAAATTAAGAGAAATATACTTACAGATGAAATTCAGATATTTGATTATTTCATTTTTAACAATTGTGTTTTGTCCAAACCAGACATTCATATTTATGCAGCGTACACCTCCCCATTCCTAATAAAAAAAATTAAAAAGCAACAAACAAATTAGCACGGAACAGTTGTCGTACCCAGTAGAAATTGGCATTTCTATCTATGAAGGCTAAAATAAGATTTTTCCCCGTGACACTGAAACGATCAATGGTGAAAAATTTAGAGATAGGAACCATATCTTTGATCGCGACCTTCGGGAATATAAATTAGTATAGAGAGATATTGAGAGAAATCATTTTATTCATATAACTAAATTAATTCACATCATGTATATGCGTAGGCTAGCGAGGCATCTGTCAGCGTATTCTTTATAGATATTTCGTATATTACAAGTTTATGTATAATGGTGGTGGGTTTTGATCATTTACCTTTTCCTATAGTATACGTTACAATAATGCTGTCTATTGCAAATAAATATATATCTGGAGTCCAAAGGTAATTAATCGACGCTTTACTTCTCCTGTAACACCATCTGTCTGTCATTTTCGAGATAACTCATTTTGGGTTGAAACATTTATTTTAATTTAATGAAATGTATCCAAACAGAAAGAAAGATACAGAGCAAAGTGAACTTTATTCAAAGGTAATCTATAGTATAGAAAAAGAAAATTTGCTATCTATAACTATTATCGTACACAGTTATTACAAGGTGTTTGACTATTCTGTTAGAGCCGTGTGCTTCTAACATTCACACCATCTGTGATTTAAACGTTTTTGACGGTTCTGTAAACGCAATTTCCTTGTAATGCTCGCCCTCCCTGTTTTCTGAAAATTTTTGTCTGTCCTTTTAGAGCCGTCTGTTTGAAATACTTGCTTTAATGTGATTTAAAGCTTTTGATTGTTCTCTTATAGTCGTCTCCTTGTTATTCTTGATCTCCCTTTGATTTGAAAAGTTTTTAACTGTTCTCTTGGAAAGCTTTTGTTTCTGTTAGCGTCAAATGCTTGTAATGCTTCAACTCCCTGTGAATTGAAAGTTTTTGGCTGTTCCGTTGGAGCCGTCTACTTGTAATGCTTCATCTCCCTGTGATTTGAAAGTTTTCGTCCGTTCTGTATGCTCCAAATTTCCTTTTATGCTGTCTTTCCCCTGTGATCTTAAAGTGTTTGTTGTACAAATGTAATAAACATTACAGAATTTATATGGGTTTCGTCATTTCTCTCAAACTTCAGACCAACATACATTATAAGCTTTATAGGAAAACCACAACCACAATTGTTTTCAAATATTTCAATTTAGATTTGGAAAAGCTAATTTACGAATATATGTCTGGCTTTTTATTACTGCATCAGCTATCAAAAATTATCAATTGTATTCTAAAATCACTCGGGGAACTTGTAATGTAGTCTACACATTGGGGATGAATACCATTATATTATAAATTGTTCACATTTTTTAGAAGACATAAATACATTTAGTAAACAAAATTTCAATAGAAGTCCAAATATTATACTCTTTACTGAAATTGTGTCTTCTACAAATAAATTTATGTAAGTTTATTTGATTTAAAAAGAAGCGAGTGTGTCCTCCTGAATTAATTGTTTTTGTTGTTGTTGTATATATTGTATTTATGTTTATGTATCTAATATGATGTTATACATGTGTTTTCTGTACCTATGTATTTGGTGATGAGAATAAAGATATAAAAAAAAAGAAAAGAACAAAAAAATGTTTTTTTGGGGTGATTTTTCAAGCCGGAGTTTTTTTATAGTATGGCAAAGAGGGCTTTTACACAAAACAAAACCTTACAGAATACTTGGTTACTTATTAAACTGGTTTAAAGTTATCTTTGCAATAAAAAAGAAATTGTCTTCCTTAATTTTCATTGTTTCAACTGGAGTTCCACAAGGATCAGAACTTGGTCCTTTGTGATTTATAATATATAAAAGATTGCATAGAAATTCACATCTTTGACCGGACTCTTCGTTCAGTTTCTTAATGGTACGATTGGGGACAGATATACATTGTTGTGGGTGGTCTTGACTTATAGAGAGAGCTGGACGAATTCTCAAGGAGTTGACTTATGTTGTGCTTCAATCCAGGCAAAACAGAAATAATTATTTTATAATAACTGATACAGCAGATATTATTTCCGAAAATTATAAATAAATCCCTGTTACAAAATGTCACATACCTCTTGGGGTAATGTGCTCTGACGCTCAATGTTACAAAACATAAAAGTTTTTTTTAAAGAAAACGTAAGTAACGACTTTGCAGAGGGTATTATGAGGGGAAAAATAATTAGCTATTATAAAACGTATGGCATTATTTTCGAATATCGAAGTGAGATTTGGAACAATTGCTGGATACGGTATTGAAGGTTTGTAGAGAAAAAAAATGAAACAATCAATATTTGTAAAACAAAAAGACAAAATTTATTCTGAAAAAAAATGCAAACGCAGCCGATCTTTTTGTTTTGATCTGAACATTTAACTGATAGGTTGTTTTAATGAAAAAAAAAAAAAAAAAACATAATTCATTAAATTAGTTTTTTTTACAAACTCGATCGATATCTAGTATGTTTGAATGTTCCCGCTAGAGACAATTTTAATAACATCAATACCTTTATTTAAAGTTAATTGCCATGAATGATTGCTAACACAGAATCTAAAATATCTGGAAGAATGAAATTTGCAGACAAAACACGTTCTTACACAATTGGATAAAACTATGAATTTTCTACCCCGAGAATAGATTTACCTTGGCTGTATTTGGAAAAAACTTTCTTAATGTTGGATCTTCAATGCTCTTCAACTTCGTACTCTATGTGGCCTTTTAAACTTTTTTAGTTCGAACCTCACTGACGAGTCTTTTGTAGACGAAACGCGCAATTTTAATCCTGGTATCTATGATGAGTGTATTTAGAACCACTGGGTCGGTGCCACTGCTGGAGGAGGTTTCCTTCAAAAGGTTATAACCAGCCCGGTAGTCAGCGCTTCTATATTTTCATGAATTGTCATTGATATGGTCATAATTATAAATAAACTCGTACTTTATTTGACCTTTTCAGCTTTTTTTATTCGAGCGTCACTGACGAGTCTTTTGTGGACTGAACTTCTGTCTGGCGTACAAAATTTTAATCATGGTATCTATGATTAGTTTATTAACAACCGCTGGGTAGATGCGGTATCACCAGCCCAGTAGTCAGTACTTCTGTGTTGACATGACTTAGCATTGATACGGTAATAATTATCAATTAACTGTTTCCAAATTTTGATTTTTTTTTATATAAGAAGGATTTTATACCCAAGGAATAGATTACTTAAGCTGTATTTGGCAAAACCTTTATAAATTTTGGTTCATCGATGCTCTTCAACTTCGTACTTTATTTGCCTTTTTAACCTTTTTGATTCGAGCGTCACTGACGAGTCTTTAGTAGAATAAACGCGCGTCAGGCGTACAAAATTTTAATCCTGGTATACGATGAGTTGATTTACAATCACTTGGTCGATGACACTGCTGGTGGAGGTTTCCTCCCCGATTGTATCACCAGCACAGTAGTCATCACTTCTGTGTTGACATGAATTATCATTCATGTGGTCGTAAATATAAATTAACTGCTTACAAAACTTGGATTTTTTCGATATACTAAGGATTTTCTACCCCAAGTATAGATAACCTTAGCTGTATTTGGCGGAACCTTTATGAATTTTGGGTCCTCAATGCTCTTCAACTTTCTGCTTTATTTGACCTTTTTAACTTTTTTTATTCGAGCGTCACTGACGAGTCTTTTGTAAAAGAAACGCGCGTTGGGCGTCCTGGTATTTATGATTGAGTTTATTTGCGTTTAAGTAGTTAGTATAGATATTTGTAACGTCAACCAATTGAACAATTTTCTAAATGAAAAGAACACTTTTTAAGTTTCGTGCGTGCGCAGCGCATTTTTCGTTAGGAAAGTTGGGCAAAATTACTTTTCAGAAAGGCATACAAAATACATTTGCAAAAACGTGTGTTTTCCTTTTAAAAGTTAATGGGCCAACAACCTGCACAATCTAAACTATATCTGTTTCAGTTTGAGCCACGTGTTTTACTGAATATTTGGCAGATTCGTTCTTTTAGTTTTATAATATTAGTAAAATAACTTCGAGTCTTTTATTTAAAAGAGGCAGAAGATATCAAGGGTACATTCAAAACGCACAAGTCGACGAAACTAACAAAAACCGTGGCAGAAAACAAAAGACGACAACAAGACAGACAAGTCCTCAAAACGCTATTAAGAAAACTTGAAACTGAGCAACACGAACTTCACAACAAAACCTGGGGTGATCTTAGGGTTAAAGAAGGGTAAGCAGATCCTGCTCCACTAGTTGCACCATTAATGTTGCTCATAATACTTAATATGACATATTAGAGAGAAATAGCCCTCGAACCTCGTATGTAATACTTTAATATAATCTATCAGAGAAATAGCTTCGGCACTTCCTGTACATTATTTGATTATAGACGTTGTTAAAATGTGTATTTTAAGATATCGTTATCGAAAAAAATAATCAGTGTAAACTTTAAAATGCATCCTTATATAGATATGAATTCAACCAAAGTCATAAATATCTACGTCCTGTTTCCTTACTTCCTTCATTGTATTTATGAAGATGCAAATAATGCAAAATGAACAGAGTGATAGAACAATGGATATATGTACGTTAATATGTATTCATATTGTATTTTTCAATGTTATCAATTGTAATCCATGTCAAATGAGAGGAACAATAGCTAATTGCAGAGACAGAGGCCTTACGAAAGTACCAGATGATCTGCCTATTGGTATTACAACTTTAAACTTAATACAGAACAGAATCGCAGAATTACCAAACTATGCTTTCAGTCGTTACAAGCATTTGAAAGAATTACAACTTGATAAAACAGGGCTCACGTTAATCCAAAAGGATGCTTTCTATGGAATGAAACAACTGAGCAATTTATCACTTTCAAAAAACAAAATGGATTTGTCAAATTCAAGTTCAGCTGATATTTTTAAACCACTAACATCACTGCTAGAGCTTGACATAAGTGAAAATGACAATATCCCGGAGGTAGCATCACTTTCGTATCCATTCTTTGGCTACATGAAAAAACTAAGCAAGTTGTCAATGGATCTTTTATCTGAGCGTGTATTTGAACAATGTGGTTTTGGAGAACTTGTTAATTTGAAGGAAATTTACTTTAACAGGTGTTATATAGATCATTTGACCAACAAAACATTTTTAAATCTGACGTCCACTTTAGAGGAAGTACATTTTTACAATTCCAAACACATTACTGACATAGAATCAAATACCTTAAGACTTTTAGTTAACCTAAAGGTTCTACGTTTATACAAGTTTTGTTCAAGGTTAGATTTAGCTTTAAAACTTTTGTACCCATATGAAAACAAATCAATTTCAATAATTGAATTCACAGAAGTTAATCCGGGAATTTGCGATGGCCCTCTTCATTTTCCAAGTGCTGTCATAGTTACTCAAGAAATGTTCAAACATTTACAAAAAATATGTATTAAAGAACTAATTTTGATGGAAGATGGAATTGTAGACTTTGAACCAAAGTCCATTCTGTGGTATGAATTTCCGGAATGTTTTGAAAGCATTATTTTGTCGAAGAATCGCTTTCCAGTCGCAAATGGATTTAAAACAGCCGAACTACTCATGCTAACTCGTAAGTTAGTTAACCTCAAATATTTTGATTTGTCGTACAATCCATTGTCCTATGATAATACAGAATCGTTTACGTTCAATGTGACTGACAGTTGCTACACAACGAACCATGAACATGCAGAAAAACTGAATAATGACTCGAATATTCGTAACAGAACAATCTATATATCTTTACCTCCTAAGTTAGAAAAACTTAGACTATCAAATTTTCTACAGAAAATAGTAAACAATAATTTAACAGTTGGCATACAAAATTCGTCAAACCTGAAATATTTAGACCTGTCTTACTTTTTGTACAATTCCATTCCGGACTTAATGTTCCTACATCACAGTAACGTCGTATTTGTTAACCTTACTGGAATCGATTCACGATTGTTTGTAAGCAGAAAACACCAACCATTACTTGAAAGTGCCAGGACAGTTATACTAAAACAAACACTTCTAGGCAGAACAATATACAAATCTGGGGAATCTACATTTCAGGCAATACCAAACGTTACAACATTAGACATCTCGTCAAATAACATTTGGTATATTCCTATAAAAGCCTTTTCTGCAAATAAACAATTATCTGAGCTTATTATGGCATATAATTTATTTGCTGAAATTCCAATATCTCTGATGTCATTATCAAAATTAAAACATCTTCACATGGAATATAACATGCTTCAAACTATTAATCAAACAATGAGAACCTGGTTAGAAAATCAAAGAATACGAAACAACGGGAATTTTGTTCTCGGACTTACGGGAAATGTTTTCAAGTGTGATTGTGACACCTCCGATTTTATCCGGTGGATGTTTGAGACTAATGTTGAGTTTGATAACAAAAAGAAAAAGTACAAATGTAGATTGAAAAACGGAACGATATCAACTACAGTTCGTGTTCACAACGAATTTCATCAGCTTTTCAGTAACTGCGGAAGTCAGTATTGGCTTCTGGTAGGAATTGTTTTACTTTCCGTATTTACTGTGTTGACCATTCCAGTTGCCATTATTATAAATTTTAGATGGAGAATAGTTTACTGGATTTATCGAGAATTCAAGACAGTCGTCCAAAAAAGATTGAAACAAGATTTTTGCTACGAAGTTTACATATCATACGCACGAGATAGTGGTACCTGGGTGAAGGATTCACTGGTTCCCAAAATAGAAAATTGTTGGAAAATGACTGTCTGTGTAGAAGATCGTGACATTCTTGCTGGTGGAAGTTTCGCCGAAGCAATTGCAATATCTATCGAAAAAAGTCGAAACGTCATTTTTGTTATTTCTGATGGTTTTAAAGAAAGAACGTGGACAAGTTATGAAATCGAAAGAGCAAAATACGAAAAGTATACGGGACATCTTCACCATATAATTATCATAACAAAAAAGGTTTCAGTGGATAAAATTCCCACCGAATTTGGACGGTTTTGGAAAGATGTAATGTTCATTGAATGGCCAGAAGAGGATTCTGATTTTGGATGGGATAAATTAAAAATAGCTCTGTTTCAACAGGACAAATGATGAACATACACTAGTTGTATAATGTTTGCCTACTGCATGCGAATAATTTTTTTTCTGTAAAAAAGACAAATTTATTAACTTTATATGCTAAAATGCTAAAATTTATAATGTATTTCAAGGTTAAATGAATTCATAGTTTTTTAAGAGTCTCGAGCTTGAATAAATGTCAAAATGTCGTCCGTGAGATCTTCTCAAGAAATCAATTTGTTTGGACAGCAATACAATTTTATACTCGAATTTTTTTGTAAGTCTAGGTTAGTCTATGAAAAGGTATATACTATGCAATTTAGAGCGAGGGGCTTGCCCCGAGCTCTTCATTTCATAGTATATACCTTTTCATAGACTATCCAATTTCGAGTAATCTTTTAATTGGTCTATTGATAGTTTATTTTGGCTGACTACTTGTATCACAGGTGTTTGTAAAACGGAGCTCATTAACGAAGTTTTGTAAATCTACTCCCTAGTATCATTGTAAAATATGTTATTTCAAAAGGCCCTTGACTCCAGAATGAAAAGATGGTAGCTGCTGGTGTGAGTATGTTTATTGGTATAAAGCAGTGTTTTTACTATACATGTACTTCTTTACATGGTAAGATGACAAAATAAATTGACCAAAAGCAGGCAATGATTAAATTGCAGTGGAAGCTTTACATGTCTTGAAAACATTTTTCAATTGCACAGTAAAACTTAAGCTATAATTAATTTGAAATATATAGATAGTTTGCAGTGACGGACCCAGGTTTGCTGGGGGTCCGGGGGTTGGAAAACCCTCATTTTCGGGCGATCAATGCTTTTGAATGCAAATATGGTTGGACCCCCCTTTTTTTCCTGGGTTGGAACCCCCTTAAAAAAATGGCTGGATCCGCCCCTGGTATGTCCCATGGATAGTCTGCGGATAGTCATTAGAAACCAACTACCAATAGATCAAAGATACTAGGGTTAATGTTTTTTTTATTTCAAAGTAAAAACTAATAGATGTATCAGAACATGTATATACATATATATATATATTATATATATATATATAGGTGGCACATTCTCTTCAGACATTATTACGGTTTTGCAATTCATGACATCGTCCTGAACATGCATGAAACATTTGCCACTGGACATTAAGCAACCAATAATCAATCAATCAATCAATTCATGACGAAATAGATCAAGTTGCCTTAATTTTCCTTCACAAGGCTTCATAGTACACACCTTTTTGTGTACAAAGTAATTGCATGGGTGATAAATTATCACAATTTTAAGATGGCGTTGTACTCTAATCAAGGTATAAAGAACCATATTTGTGACTCTTTATTTAAATGAAAGAAACTTGCAATCGTCAAAAACATTTTTTAGATCCAAAGATTTTAATAGCAGAATATTTAAAAATCAATGTGAAAACTATATTACAAACTATTTAATTTAATATGGAACACAGCATTTTATTTCAAAATAATCTTGATTACGATACAATGAAATCTTACCCTTGTGGTCATTCGTGCGTAGTTACTTAGTTCACGGAAAAAGTATGTACTATGAAAATTAGAAGGCAAATTCTAGCAATTTGATTGGACGAGAAGTTGTAAGTATGTGCTAAATTGGAATATAAAATGTGTATAAGATACATCTTGAGGGCGTTAGACCGAAATGGTATATCTAATGTACACCAAGATATTATTGTCAATGCAGAATGATTGTTTTCAATAATTTAGGAGGGGGTCTTGGCATGATAAATGCAGGGTATCCAATTTCATTTAACGACATCTTGGTGTAAATATATATATAACATCTCATATATATATTTAGAAATTTCCAATTTACAAAATATAAAAAAGAACAAAAATACTTTTTATGTCCCACCTACGATAGAATAGGGGCATTATGTTTTTCGGTCTGTGCGTCCGTTCGTCCGTTCGTTCGTCTGTCCCGCTTCGGGTTAAATTTTTTGGTCAAGGTAGTTTTTGATGAAGTTGAAGTCCAATCAACCTGAAACTTGGTACACATGTTCCCTATGATATGATCTTTCTAATTTTAATGCCAAATTAGAGTTTTGACCCCAATTTCAAGGTCCACTGAACATAGAAAATGATAGTGCGAGTGGGGCATCCGTGTACTATGGACACATTCTTGTTTCGAATTGCTTTTGTACATACTTTCTTTTTAAAGGTCTATCAGAACTAACACGATTCTCTATTTTGATACCTCCTTAATATTTTTAGCTGATTCGAGCCAAAGGGCCCGTTTTTAATCACTTTGGCGTCTGTCGTCCGATCATCCATTGCTAAACATTAATTTCTAACCCCCTCAAGCGCCACCGAGTCAGTTGAAAGTAAAATTTTGGTTCAACTTTGACTGATTTCAATGACCAACCAACATAATGTATATCCACATGGGATAACATGTAAATATCTTGTTCTTGAAAATAGATTCACGAATGTATTATTTTCTAAGATGTATGACGATATTATTCCTCACAAATTGTGTTTCCAAAGATTTAACAGTTGAAGTCATCTTACAGGCCAACATACCACACATACCTCCCATTTGTCATTTGCTTCAGAGCTACTATGAAAAAATCTTTTCTAGATTTGGACATGAAACAAACCCAAAGATCTGTCAGAATACATTCAATCTAAGTCTCCTTTCTCTTGCTATAGTATATAAAAACATTTGACTTCTCTACCCTTTACACTATTATTTCGCATTCTAAACTTAAAGACAGATTTAAAAAAATAGTCCAACTTAGTTTCATAAAAAAGAATGACCTACGCTTTATAAAGGGAAAAATCATATGTTGTAAAAACAGACAATCGACATGCCTATTGAAACCTATTGTAATCCTATTCTTGTCGACTTGTTTCTGTACTCATATGAGACAGACTTCATACAGGAGCTTACCCAGGAATAATGGAAAAGGCTAGCATTAATCTTTAACTTCACGTTCGGCTATATAAAGTATGTCCTCTCACTAAATAATTCAAAATTTGGTGACCATATTGAACTCTTCTATCCCATCGAACTTGATTTAAAGGATACCACAGATACAGGTAGGTCTGCCTCATATCTTGAGAAATATCTAGAAATGGACAATGAGGGTAGGTTCAGAACTGAACATCTTTTCAAACACATTGGCTTCTATTAGATTGAATTTGTGTTAAAAAAGGCAGAAGTTTGAGATCGCTTAAACATAGTAAAAAGTCAGTTTTTTAATCAATATAAAATTGACATATTCTACAGCTCTTTTTATAAAACTTTGACGTATTCATCTCATCTTTGATGCAAAATGTTATTGTGTGGAGAAACTATCGGCAGAGCTAATATTCTATCAATCTATGTCCATAGGCGGGCCAAAAATAGCTTAGGACATGCGAAATGAATGATATAAGATGACTTTATCTTTTTATTCTGTTGGAAGAAAAAATAATCCAACGAGGGCATGATTTTGCTTAAAAATAAGATCACAGGTATCAAAACAATATAAAAACAAGGATATTTGGTATTATTGCCAATGAAATAACTATCTGTCAGAGACAAAAGAATGAAATTGGTGTCTTGACAGATCCGAAAAGTGTTCACACGTTACAACTAACCACTTCTAAGCTGCTGACTTAATATAAAAATAATATCTTCAGTAGCTCATGAGAAGAGTGACGGAAATATTTGTTAGACGAACAGATGGAGGGACAAACGAGCAGGCGAAAAGACAGACAAGGTTGATGCAATATAGCCCACTCGTAATGTGTGTGTAAAATAAATGAAAATCAGTTATCCCATATTGCAACGACACTCACTTGGTAACAAGCTCCTGACTTGGAACAGGCACATAAATAATCTGGCAGGGTTAATCATGATGTGGTCGCACAACCTTCACCAAACCTGGGACAATGATATAACAGCACACCACGAGAACACACTGTAAAAATCAGTTGGAAAGTGTCTGACTTATCAGATCGGTACAAACGACAAAACAAATACAACCAAAAAACAAGTAAAAAAAAGACACGGGACACAACATATCGATTTAAGAGTACACACTGTTATTGAAATTTACTTTTAATTTGCTTTCATTGAAATCTATACGTCGCTACAGATACGGACAAAGCGAGCGAGTTGGGGAATATTCACACTATAATAAGAGCCAAATGACAATAACCTGGAAATTAATTTCTGCAATATTTTTTAAGTAAATAGCACTTATGGCATGGTTTGAATATACATTTGGATATATTGTCAGGTTTTATAATCTGTATTTTTAACGTAAACTTTGACCTTCAAAAAAATTGTTTTTGAATTTTCATGGTTTTCAAAAAGGTTGGTTTATTTGACTTTGAGCCTAAGCGAACGAAAAAGGAGTCGTTTATCCATTCCTGAAATCACAAGAACATACAGGCCTTATATACAGGACTGAACTCCAATGGGTAATTACAGTCGTGTACTGTCGCAACATTGTTAATACACGTAATGTATCTTCTTGTTATGCCTTCGTCTGGATAATAACCATCACCTAAGCTTACACAGTCTATCAATCTGCCACCCTCAGGTTTTGGTATTTGGTATTGACTGGTACAAGTCCCTTTATAAAAGTACTTTTTAACCCCATATTGGTCTTCTCCACACTGATATATACCCATCATTCTTTCCATAAAACATTTGATGTAATTAGGTGTCATTTGTTTATTTGGGTGCTCGTATAAACCATCATCTTTATTTCGGCAGCTAGGATAAGCAATCGTGCACGGTTCTGAGTGACCGGGAACTGGTTTGTTTCTTGAATAATCACCTGGAATGAAAGAAAATATAAACACAAAAAAACTTCTTAGTATTTCATTGTCTTTCTCTTTCTCTTATTTGTTATATTATGGTAATGTGAACTTGTGATAGCAATGTTAGTATGTGCGATTCGTACGATTTTCCAATGTTTAGAGACGGAGTTGGTGATCGTTACTTTGTATCATACAAACTTTGACTGACAACAAAATAGCTGATCTATAGACATGCCACTATATGCCATGTACAGTGTTACATAATAGCTTAAACTGACGAGGAAAGGCATCGACTAACGAATGCTATAATGTTTTTTTATCTGAGTTTGCTGAGTGGTCTTGGGTGCTGGAAATAGGGCAGACGGAGTTGCCACGATGTCCAAGAAGCATTGGTTCAAATTTCTTCGAGAGAAGGACAAATATTTGCAACTGCATTTGCAGATTTAACATATTTTTGGGGACTAAATTTTAGACAAAGAATTTATCCGATGCATATATCTCATTTCCTTAAAATGTTGTGTTTAACGGATTGCTTTTGATTAATCAGGACAAATCAGCACAAGCCTATACTTACATACAAACAGACTTAAAGCAAAACTATTAATCCTATAGAATCAATGAAAACAAACTTACAGCCATCGACCAACACTTTTCTGCTTCCGCAATTCACATTAGTAAAGTTGTCACACTTGTTAGTGATATCGTTAAACATCTGAGGATAAATGCATTCGTCTAAATGTTGCTTAAAATGTAGCGGAACATATATAGTATATACTAAACTACAATCGTAAAACCTTTGACATTCCTCTGCATCGGCAATCAAAGATGACGACGACGTCTGACATTGGTCAGTTATAGCAGACGATGCTGTAAAAGAAATTTAAAGTTAAAATAGAGACACCTACATGTTTTATCTTTTGTGCATTCTCTCTGAAATAATGTTCTATCTTTCGTCAGTGGAAATATACTTCACCAGAAAGAGTTGAAAGAATTTGACATATCTGCAGACAACAAATAACATTAGTTTTTACTTGCAAAGACACTGACTATACATGTATATATATTTTTATATATTTACTCTGCAAAAAAAAAACAAACAAAAAAAACACGTATAACGTTTACTATTTTTTCTTCTTCCAATTTTGTTCTGTGTACTTCAATTCGAATTTTACAGAAATTCGTTGATATATTAAATTAGATTAAGCTTGGGCTTAAAGCTTAATAATACACGAATGGCACACAGGGTTCTTAACAAAATTGGGTCAATTTCCAGTTACGTTATAAAGTCAGTATATATTGTCACCACTATGCGCCACTAAAACTGTTCTTCATCTCCGTAACATGGACCAAATTAGATTTTGTATTCCGACCAGTGGTATCAATTGCCATTCATTTTGAAACGGTCCAATGATTGAGTTTGAGTTCGCGGACGCGTCTATTGAAGGCCTTGACAATACATTAATGATGTTCTAAGTTAGTTGATTTATGGTAACTCTTGCTGTATGGGACCAGAAAATTGTTCTGCTGAAACATCTCCCTCTTGCGGTCAATAACATTTAGCATATGTGACTGCACAATATCGTTTCTATAACGTTGAGCTGTTCAATTTACTTGGACACGCACTAGGTTTGTTCTGCTGTGAAGGCTATTTCTTGTCACATTATGACGTTCCACCGCCAAATCTGCCAACTTCTTGTACGCTGGTATGAACGAAACACTTATGTAGACGCTTGTAAACGCAGGTTCGTCCATCACATCTTTGGAGATAAAAACGTGACTCATCTCCGAACTAGACCATCACTGTATGACATAACGAAGACTTGCACGTCTGTGTAACTGGGTAGAAACTGGTTAAACATAAGGCTGTGTTAAGTAGCTCCAAGACTAACTAAGAATATCATTAATGTATCGTCAAGGCCATCAAATTTCTCTTTTTGTATATATATTTATGCATATTTGTTTCACTGATCCAAATGAACATTTCACACAAAATAAAGTAGTGAAGTGGTTAGTCTAAAATATTGATGCTATGGGGAAGTTTCATATTATCTTTTTTTCAGTTGAGGGGTTCAAAAGGATTATTTTTCACAGTTGTTCCAAAAGTCGTCCAACATGGTGTAGCGACTCTGCATTGTAGGATTTTATATAGCATATTTACTTACTAATTTCATGTCCTGATTATTTGAAATATTGTATATACGACCTTGACGTGTCAGCAGACGTAAATTTCAAGAATTATAAAAAAAAATTATAAAAAAATAGAATTATAAATAAAAATAGACATTATATAAAAATGTGTTTGATTCAAACACATACTCAATTCCTCTTCACAACGCAGTCCCCCATACGTTTTTCCTGTCGGAATCGCCACACACTGACAAATATAGCCAGGAGAATTTCCCATGTTTGAACAAGTTCCTCCGTGTAAACATGGACTACTATTGCAATGGTCAGTATCTAAAGTCGCTCTTGTTTCACAATGTGTACCAGTATACTGTATCATTCCATCCTGAGATACTGTACAAACACATTTATGTCCAGTTGTTGTTGCAAAACACGTGCCTCCATTTAAACAAGGTTTGGTGTCACAGCCGTTCAGCAAGTTTTCAAAAGCTTGTAAAAAAGGAAAGAAGCACATGAGATATGCAATAAATGTTAATAAAGTTAGCATTTCAGGAGATGATTTGGAAAAAAAACCATACAAACCAGGAAATAGGCGATGCGTATATTTGCGACGAAAGGTCATGGAAATAAAACAATAATTACAAATGTACAGATTTTCCAGGTAGTTATGATATATATATATATCAAATAGTGTCGTTCGGAGTTCATGTAAGTTAGGAATCTGTCTATAACTGCCCGCTCACAGTACAAAACAAATTGCATATCATTTTTTTTCTGTTTTGATAACATATGCATATAAAAAAATATAAGTCTCATTCCAAAGTTGGTTGGATGTTTAATATGCAAAATTAGAGAGAAAAAATAATATTTCGCGTCAGTGTTCTGGAAATCAATTACTGAAAATCCAACAATTTCATATTTCGAGAAAGTTAAGAAACCCCAAAGCAATACCAAATTCAGTAAATGAAAACGTACAAATCCTGATAATAACCTTGTAATCTAATAAAATTTACCTCTTTTTTCATACCATTGATTTGTTATATCATGCCAATTACTAAAGCTACTAGGAAAATATATTCTATATAACGAAAAGAAACAGTACGATGTAATATATAAATATAATTTATAGAAAGAAGTCGTAAGGAAATAGAGCTCGTGGCTCTTAGAACAAGATGTGTGACATGACAACATAAATATCAGAAGGCAAATTGTTCAGGAAAAAAGTAAAATAACAAAAGTACCGAACTGCAAGGAAAATTTAAAACGGAAAGTCCTTTATCAAATGGCAGAATCAAAAACTCAAACACATCAAACGAATGGAAAACAACTGTCATATTCCTGACTTGGTACAGGCATTCCCTTATGTAGAAAATGTCAGCCCTGATTTAGACAATGAAGAAACCACGCGATGAAAATTGGACGGATAACAAATCCGACTCTGAGTCTCATATATTTAACAATTATATCAAGAAAAATAAACAATGTCACAACATATACATGATATAGACAAAATACATAAGTCTCGTTTATCATTGAAAATCAAAAAATGTAAACAAAAAATAACCAAGTCTTAAATTCCAAAATAAAACAAATCTTCATGATTAAAAAGTGAACTAATATCAAATCGAAATTAATCGTCGATCAGAAGAGGAAAATATGTTCATCAACCGAAAAGAAAACCAGCTAGAAGCTTTGTGTGAGATGTTTAAGACAGAATACCACCAGAATTATTAATGCGTTATACGACCACCATATTGATTATACCCTCATTTAAACCTAAAAAGTTCACAAAATTACCAGAATGACGAAATATACAAAGAATTCATAAAATACCTAACAAAACAACAGAACCGCACATAATACATACCCGATCATTCCGGTGTGTCAATACACGAGTACACGATAAATATTCTGGTAGATTTAACAGAACTCGCATGAATGTTCTGTGAAGTCAGATAAAAATATAAGTATTTGGGCATGATTTTCCGATGGTCAGAAAAACAAATAACATATTTGGGCATGATTGTTTGATGAAATCAGATACACATATGACTTACTTGGGCATAACTGACAATTGAAACCACATAATAGTGATAATAAATTCTTTATTTAAAGAGGGTTACTCAATTAGAACTAGTTTAATTTTCAATGAGGCCCTCAAACAAAATACATGTATACAGCTAACATTCAAACATCAAAATACAACATATAAATGATGCCATCAAACAAAATACATGTATACAGCTAACATTCATACATATAAATTATTTGAACATGAATGTCCAATGAAATCAGATACACGTATGAGTCATGAGAGATGCATACAGGTAACAAAAACATCAAGTTTGTGGTTAAATGATAATACTTACATAATTCACAGAATTGTCCAGTGAAGCCAGAATAACATGTACATGAAAATCCAGTGGTACTAGCATGACATGTTCCTCCGTTTCTACATGGGAGATCAGCGCAAACTTTTGATACTGAAAGAGAACACCATCAACATTTTGTAGTATAAAGTCCTTCTTTTATTCTATTCATTCTGGTCTTCATTTCTTTTGTTTTTATGGTATTTTAACAGGAGTTAGGCATGTTTCAAAGTTCAAAGCACATCTTGCCTAAATTTTGTTCTGCCTACATACTTTCACTTTATATATATCATAGTATTCAAAACATGTATCGATAAACAGTTGACACAGAAATATTTCTCGGCTGCGTTTAAATTTTATTGTATGATACAAATTTTGAAATTTAAATGGAAACCACTTGTGACTGCCTGTACACTTATTAAAATGAAAGGAGTGACATCCAGTCTCCCTGAAAATGGGATCTGTCAAGGCTTATACAACTACATACCAAATGTCATTGACTTATCATATAAAGTGGTTCTCCTTAAACAGGGGACATAATTACATTTTTAGACATGCACAGTATGCAAAAGTTTTAAAGTTAATAAGATAAGATAAGAAAACTTTATTTTGATTCGGCATAAGTTAAAAGACACAACACAAGCTCTAAGGAGCTTTTGACCGAATATAAAAACATATACATAACATAAAAACAGTCTAATTTGACATATAAAACAACCTGTTATACGAAGTTAAATCTCACTTACATAGCATGCAATAAAAATTTAGCAACAAATTTAAAATGAAATAAAACATGCTAGACCAGAGCAAACAAAAGCAACATAAATAATAAACATCTCAAGAATTATCTGCAAGCAGAACATCGACATTCCAAACCATTCCAGGACTGAACAAGACTTTTAAAATGTGAAAAACTATTTTCAGTCCTGAAATGGTTTGGAAGGCTGTTCCATAAAGTAGCAGCAGCAAATTTGAAAGATTTTTTACCGTAACGGGTTGACTTTACCTGTGGAACATCTAGAATATTTACATACCGGAAAGAATACTTAGATTTTTTGACACTCACCAAATTTTGTAAGCACACAGGAGCTATATTATTTATAATCTTAAAAGTTTCTAGAGCCATTGTTCTAATCCGTCTAATCTGCAAGGAGGGCACCTTAGCTTTAAGTAAGAGGTCCTCGTAGGGGCTGGTAAAATCCTCATATACAAAACGGAGTGCTCTTTCCTGCACCTTTTCTAATTTTTTGGAATTTTTCTCAGTGCAAAAATGCCATGCCAAAGGACAAAAATTAAAATTACTAAGAATAAAGGTATGAAAAATAGTAAGTTTACTAAGTCTATCCAAAACTGAGCCCAAACGTTTTAAAACATTTAATTGCTGTGATGCCCTCCTACAGATTGAGCTGATATGAACATCAAAATTTAACTGATAGTCAATTTCAATGCCTAATAATTTAACTGTTTTTTCACATGTAAGGTTCGAGTTTTGAATACGTATAGATGGGTTTTGTTCAAAGGTCTTTTTGCCAACAGCCAAAACTTGAAACTTATCGGGATTTGCTTGCATTTTATTCACCCGGAACCACTCAATAAGTATTTTTGACTCAGATTCCAAAGTTGAAATTAATAAATCAAAATCTGGAGTACAGAAAGACAAAGTATTGTCATCTGCATAGTTATATAAACTTCCATTTTTAACAAAAAGAAAAATATCATTTATAAATATGTTAAACAACAATGGCCCTAGTATAGAACCCTGTGGTACGCCTTTATGGATGTCAGCCAAATCACTCAGAACATTGTTGACTTTAATTTGTTGTTTACGATTAGGACTTTAAAAGAGCAACAGCATGGGGGGATACACCATATGCTGATAATTTATCTAGCAAGATATTGTGAGGCAGGCAGTCAAAAGCCTTAGAAAGATCCATTAATACCGCTGCAATGTACTGGTTTTTATCGAGAGCTTCACGCCAATCTTCTAACACTCTGAGAAGTGTGGTCTGACATCCATGTCCACGTCTAAAAGCACACAAAAAAGGATTAAATATTTTATCAAAGTATTCAGTTAGTTGAATTTCATATATTTTTTCAAAGATTTTAGAAAATATGGGTAAGACACTAACTGGTCTATAGTTTGTTTTTAATAATGGGTCACTCTTTTTATGAAGGGGGGTCACTTGGGCTTCTTTAAGTTTGTCAGGGAAACAGTTATTTTCAATTGATAAATTTACAAGAGTTGTCAGCTGTGGTGCAATATAAAATTTACAATTTTTTACTATTTTTGCTGGAATACCATCAGCTCCTGTAGCCTTCTTTATGTTTATTTTATTCAAGATTTTATTGACATTTTCGTTAGATACTTTCTTAAATTCAAAGTCAGAAACATGCTTTCTGTTACTCAAAATTTCTTTTATACTTGGGTGATTTGAGGGGTCATATACCACATCTGCTCCAATTTTGTCTGCTACTGTGGAGAAAAAATTATTAAAAACATTTGAAACTTCATTTGGACTATTTACAATTTTGTCATTTTCACACAATAAGATTTTTTGTTCTCCACAGTTCCCCTTTTTTGAGAAAAATGGTTTGACTGTTTTCCAAAACTCGCATGATTTTGACCCACCAGAGCAACGTTCTAAAAAGTATACTTTTATTGATTTTCTCTTTATCTTAGTTACCAAATTTCTTTGTTTTCTAAATTTCTCCCAATTTTTGTCACTCCGGTTTTTAGTATATTGTGAATAAAGCATTTGTTTTCTATATATGGCCCCTCTCAGTTCTTTATTCATACATGGCAGTGGTTTTCTTCTTTGACACCTAGATTTGACAGGTGCATGTTTATTTAATATATTTTTAAAATCTTTTTCATAATCATCATAAATACTATTTAAATCTTTCTCAGTACAGTTTTCTGAAATCTTTATTTTCTGTAAATCATTTGTAAATTTGTCAATATCAAAAGTTTTGTAACTTCTATATGTTACGTCCCTGCATTTTTGTGCAGGTAAATTCCCTTTCACAACTGTAGAAATAATATTGTGACAGTCACTAACACCATTTGGACTATTTGTTGTTTTAAAACACAAATTCTTTTTACTTGTAATAATAACATCCACAAGGGATGGGTTACAACCCTTTTTAAAACATGTTGGACCTTTAACCAGTTGTGATAAGTTGAAAATATCACATATATCATGTAAAGTCTGAGATTTTTCAGCAGACAACATATCAAAATTAAGGTCACCAAAAATAATAATATTTTCATATGACACAAAACATTTATCTAGTGATTTTGTAAAATTATCAATAAAGTCATTATTTTTCATGGATGGAGGTTTGTATGCTCCCATAATAAGCCATTTGGCATCATTTATATAAATTTCATAGCAAATATTTTCAAGTTTATCAGATTCAAAACATTGTTTTCTACTGGAGGGAAAGTCTGATTTAATCAAGGTAAGTAAACCACCGCCGTGCTGATCTCTGTCACGCCTTTGTAATTTATAACCATCAACTTGAAATAAGTTGTCTTGGAAGGTATTGTCCAATTTCGATTCGGCGATCATCAATAAGTCAACTATATTGTCTGTGAGAAGTTCTTTTACCTCATCAAATTTGAACCTGAGACTGTTTATGTTTACATATGCCGCAATAAAGTTCTTTGGATGCAGACGTCTGGTCTCTCTCAAATCTTGGAACAAAAGTTTGTTTACACCGGAAGTAGAGTTTGACGATAGACTGTCATTTATAGGTGCGTTTGACTCCTCGTTAAAATCAATAAAATACGAATCGCTAAAATCTGGTAAATAACATATTTTGCAGAACCAGCTGTCAGTTGAATTTCCAAGTAGTTCATATTCTTTTAAGGGTAGATTTATACATTTTAGATGAAACCACAAGTTACAATCATCACACTGGATTGCCCGTTGGTTTTTTCTGACTCCCTTCTCGCAAGTTCCACATGGAAATTTTACTGGTCCAGGATTATTTTAATGTACCATAACAGTTGCCGGACCAAAATGTATCCATGCAAAATGAGATGTGTTAGTGATAATATTACTGCACACTAAATATAAATGACCAACCATTGGTGATGAGAAGTGGTTATTTTCAATCTGACCTAATGATATACTTTAATATGAAGACCATGCAAAAGTTTCAAAGTCAATGGACCATAACTCAGATGGTAAGGTAAAATAATCTCCATGAAAAGGTAGATCTGCCGATGCTAGTTCAACTACATATAGCCTGGGATCCTGGCCAACTGCTCGACGAAGTATTAGATTGGGTCAGGATGTCAGGCTAAACTACATATCAAATATCATTGATAGTTAATGAACTGACATACCTTGGGTTGAATTTTTCAAGAACAGGTAGCTTTATGAGTGCTAAGAAAATTTTAGTTCGAAAAGCAAATAAAGCAATGTATGAAGTATTGAAAAAGGGGAGGTTGCACAACTTGTCAGTGAAATCTCAATATGATCTATTTGATAAAATTGTGAAGCCAATCCTACTATATGGATGCGAGATTTGGGGTTTCAGTAATACTGATATTATAGAAAGAGTGCACTTAAAATTTTGTAAACTATTACTAAACCTTAAGAAGTCGACACCTAATTTTATGATTTATGGTGAACTTGGTATTTATCCCATGTCTTTATATATACAGCTGCGTATGGTTAATTTTTGGTCAAAAATGGTAAATGGGAATGATAACAGGATTGCTAAAATATTATACAGATACATGTTCTTGAAGAATTCTGTCAACCAATTTAGGTCAGATTAGTTGAAATACGTTAAAGATACATTAGATAGATGTGGATACAGCAATATATGGTTGTCACAAGGAAATTTTAATCCTAAATGGTTGGGTATTAGTTTAAAACAAAGGTTATTTGATCAGTTTCAACAGAAATGGAGAGCAGATATTGACTGTTCATCAAAAGGTTTGGCCTACAAATTGTTTAAACAAAAATTTGAATATGAAGAATATCTGAATATCTTAAGTGATAAAGATAGAATAACATATTGTAGATTTAGAACGGAAACCACAAGTTACCCATCGAAACTGGTAGATGGAATAAAATTGAACGTAACTATAGATATTGTAATTTATGTCATTGTAACGAGATTGGGGATGAATTTCATTACATTTTGCAGTGTAGTTATTTGACAAACTTTCGAGCACAATATTTGGATACTTTTTCTTGCACAGAAGTAATATACTAAAGTTTGGAAAACTATTTCAGTTAAAATTAAAAAATAAGTTAAAAAAGCTGTGCAAATTTATCAGGGTTATAACTTTTCAAGCAAGTCTTCCTGGTTAATCACCACTCTTCGCCACTACTGTGTTATTTTGTTTTATTTTATTTTTTCTTCTCATCTTGTCATGTGTGTTTATGTTATGTTATAACTTTTGATGAACTTCTTTGTACCATTGTAACTATATGGTGTTTGAGAAATAAAGAATCTTGAATCTTGAATCTTGACTTATCATATGTGGTTTCTATACTCACGTGACTGTGATTTCAGCTCACAGTTAGGGCCGTGGTAAGAAAACCCGTCAACGTTTTGGAGACAATGGCACATGTATCCATCACTTGTTCCCGTGCAAGATCCTCCATTCAAACATGGTTTGTTTAAGCATGCATTGCCTATCAAGTAAAGAAATAAATTAATAAATTAATCGATGAAAAGGAGTAGGCCCAGTAAGACCCCTTTTTGGCCCCAAAATATAGCAGTTTTACAAAATTGTTAAAATGTAAAGTTTTAGCTATTTATTGGAAAGAAGAATACTTTTGTTACATAAATATGGGCTGTTTTTGACAATACAATGCACATGTATCGGGTACTAGCATCATTAAGTCATGCTAAATTACTGAAATCTTCGAAATTTCAGCATTTTGGTTAATTTTTAGACGGTTTCCGTCTGAAATGGAAGTGGCCGCATTTGTGTTCATTCTTAATATTTAAATGTAAGTTGTATTTGATGATAATACATAACATATATAAAGGTTGAGAATGAACACGGATGCGGCCACTTTCTTTTTTGACAAAAACCATCTGAAAAGTGACATATTATGGCATATTTGATAGATTTTTCATATTTAAGCATGAAATTGAGCGTCTTTAATGACTAAATCAGTTCAAATCTTTCACTTAAACTAATTGAATCGACTGAAGTAGACACTTAAGTGTTTAAAAAGTGTCCAAATGTTTCATCAAATGAACCTGAATTTTGAGGCCAAAATCGGCCCTTACCGGACCTACTCCTTTGAATTAGTTGATAAAGGATTTTTATTATTGGTTATCATGTTGATAATTGTAATAATTGCTTATGATAATTTTACATTATTCATGATTGAAGACTAATAAATTGTTTTAATGCATTTTCAAAAAAAATCATCTGCGATTACTTAGGCTCTACAACATTTTATATTATTTAGAAGCAATATACCCACATAAAGTACTGACATGCTATGTTCTTACTGCTTCGAGTAAAACCACCATTTTTCATTTGTGCTTAAAAGTATAAATTGAGGTTGGAAATCTGCAGAGATTATGATAGCATATTTATCTTAAAATTTCATGGCTAAAACGCTCTCAACAAATATCTGAGCAAATGTGCGTTTCTATAATAGTAACAATACATATATGCATATATCTTGCGAAATATGGTAAAATCTTTGTTTCCAAATCACTATTTGAATCCAAATTCAAACAACAAAAGGATAGAGTTCAATATAATTATTCATTTTGCATTCACGGTATTTGAATAACAGTACATCGTAAAAAATTTCTACGAAAATATAATGGTTCTTTAATATGTTGTGACGATGATGTTCTCTTACCTATCTCACAGTTTTGTCCACTGTAGGCGCTGTTACAAACACACATGTAGGTTTGTTGCGGTGGTAACGATCCTATACAGTTTCCTCCGTTTAAGCATGGGTTTGATTTACACGGGTCGGGATCAGTTATAACTAAATAAATTATAAGGATCGCAAAATATCAATGTACAGTTGAAAATATAATTTGGTACTTTAACCTTTCAAGGCGTGACAACAATAAAAAGGTAAAAACCTACTACGTTACACAGTCTTGCTGAAACAGTTGGAAAACTTGGAGTTGAGTCTATATATAAAAACAAAGGAGGATCTATGATAAGAGCTAATATCTGGCTTCTGAAATTGTAATAAAACATTAGAATTAATTTTTCCATTCAAAATCTAATTAATTTAATTGATAAAAGAAAGAGAGGAATGTTATATGATAATTGATAAAAGAAAGAGAGGGATGTTATATGATAATTGATAAAAGAAAGAGAGGGATGTTTTATGATAATTGATAAAAGAAAGAGAGGGATGTTATATGATAATTTCAGTGTTGAATTTAGTAATTTGTGCTGTCTCTGTTATGATTTAGATTGTCAAAGCCTCATCCCAAAAAAATATATTCAACCCTTTTCAACATTTGTGTATATATTGAAGACATTTTGTAGCATAATCTATATTGGAATAAGACTTTGGCTAAAATCTGAATTTTTAAGACAAGATCTTAAAAAAGGTTATTTGGCCGGGTCTTTTTTCAGTTCTTCATTAGATGAAATATTTTTGGAGCAAATACATAACACAAAATTCAAAAAATACAATTACTGTAATGGGATAGACTAATGTTGACACCTGAATGATGTTACTTGATAAAATTATAAAACTTTTTTTTATTTTCGAATCATGGGACCAAAATGGCTTATCACATCTTGAACTTCATATGAACGTTATTTGGGCAAACATATTTATTGCAAACAATTTCATTTGATTAATTGTGTGCTGTTTGCTTGAAGTCCAGTGAAAATTATGTCATGTTTATTCAGGACGAGAACAAATTAATAATAAATCTTAATACGCTTGATAAGTGGGTCAACCGGAATAAAGGCGGAGACACTGGTAGCAGGTCAAGAAGTCCTTATAAGTTCACGGAAATCAAAAAATTTTAAGAGCCTTATTAGTTCTACTGATCATCTTTTTTGATAATCTAGTAATCTTTTATTGTTTTTCGAGATCAACAAATTATCATTTTTACCCTGAAGATATACATTGTTGAGTCATCCGTTTTAAGGTCAGTCAGGTCATCTATGGATATGTCAATGATAAAGTCAAGATAACTTCATTTAAATTGACAATTAAATTGTGATCTTGTTTGTTTGAAATAATCTAACAATATTCTACAATACTGATTTGTAGTATATTTTTGTTTTTGTAAAAGGCGACACAGATAAAACCTAAATTATACGTTTTATGTCAAAATAGAAAGAAGAGGGTTACGCGCCTTGTACTTTATTCACGTATTAAACTTATCTGACATTTATATAAATGTATTTAAAATGGGGAATGAACCATTGTTTTAAAGATATGTCTTCTTTTACCAGAAAAATAGTTACACTGGGTTATGTTTGTTAATCCGCTTCTGGAGAAACCTCTAAAAACAAATGTAACTATTTCCATCTGACAATTATCAATTTTAGATCGAAAGGGAGAAAAAAGGGAATATGTAAAGCTATTTTTTTAATTAGTTTCTTACTTTTGTCAGTCGTAAGACCACCGGCAGGCACACACACATCTGGATGATCCAGCGACACGCATGCAAAGTCGCCATCTTTTCTGTGTCTTAGTGTATTTGGGCATCCAGGCATCGCTATGAAATTTCCATGCACACATTTCATAAAAGTACAACTGGTTTCATTAACCTCGTCTTCGGTACACTTTGGCTGGGTAAGCGGTACTAAAAGGTTAAAAAATATACATATTAAAAATCAGGTTGTTCTTTTGTCTCATACTCAAAAATAGCACTCCAGATGTATAGTCAATGGACTATGAATATAGATATATTGAATATATAGTTATGGTAGGTTCTAACATATGATATTTACACTGCTAATACCATATGTGTTCTAAAAATGTATTATTTTCTAAGCAATATATGTGTTCTAGTAACAATGTAATGGTGCTCTAGTAAAACTGACGTTATATGGTATAACTTTCACGTGGCTTCTAACATTGGAATAGACATTTTAAAGATCTTAATTTATGGAAGACATGTTAAGGTTGTCACATTCCTTTCATTCGTAGTCATCCTTAATCATAGTAGGCAATTGATTTTTTAACAGTAAAACAACGTGTTTATAAGGTCAAAACATAGAATACGCATGTATCCTCGGTAAAACATCGAGTTGAATAAGCATTTCGATAAAATAAGAGAATGGATTGGTCTTTAACGTCTTACCATTTCTACATGCAGTATTTACATGTCCTTTTCTTCAATTCATCTTAAATAAATTAATATACAAGTATATCAATTATCTATTTCTTTGATTTACATGCAATTATGTTGAAATGCACTATCGGTTTTATATCTAACATTTATTTTGGCTCAATTTTCAAAAGACAATACATGGCTGTTTAATTCATAAAGAAACTAAACAACGGCCTAGGTTTACGAAACCCTTTGCATGTAGTGAATTCGTCGTATTCTCCGTTTTTGAGAGAGTGTTTCGTTGTTGCTAAAAAGTGTAGAATATATCAATAAGACGATCAAATGCCATAAGTCGGTTAAAGACCAGACAGGCCATGGTCAAATGAAAACAAACAGAACTAACAAACAACAGTCATCAAAACACTACCCTGAAAACTAGATATTGGGCAGCACAAACCCTACCAAAATCCAGGATGGACTCGTCGAGGATAAACAGTTACCGGTTCCGGTATTATGTTGCATTCAGTGACGTCACAATCGGGGGAAATAGGACGGAATGCGACTACGATAGGTGGAACATTAGGTAGCAATAAACAGTTAGGAAAAAATATTAAAATTTTCCCTCATAAATTTTACCATCCCCTTTTCATTGCCTTCTTGCAATATTAAGCTTACTGTTTGTGTCATATATGTGCATATGTATGTAATCAGAATCTTCCATAGATTTCATATCCAGTATATGAAATGGTAAAATATAATTTCTCCTTGGTGTATCCATGGCAACAATCTGCATTTTTTTGTTATAAAATATAGCAAAAAGGGGGGAAAAGATGTCACATATTTCCCCAAAATTTGACCAAAAGTAGAATTTCAATCACTTCAAGTAATACCTTTTCTGAAACTGTTTACATATATCTTTCAATAAATCCAATGAAAATCATATGTCTTTCGTCTCATTTTTTTGTAAAATTGCGTCAAAAACTTCGTGTAGAAAAAAAGTGTTTGTAAACATTACATTAATTTCTGGACCGATGACCGGTCTAGCTATGAAAATACGGAGAGTCAAACAGAAAATAGCCCATAAAACATGTAAAAAATAATCTTGATGTTCTTATAAACCACATTTGAAGGCTAAATTAGTACTCAGCTGTCTAAAAATGAATTTTATTACACAATAATTTAATTTTGGATGTAACGCGTCTTCCGATTGGCTGACGTTGTTTTGTTTATCAGCTCATAGACATAATTTTGTCATGTGACCGTGACGTCATCAACGTTTTTTCATGGTTTACTCCGGTTTAAAATGGAATTAAGAATTAAATTATAAGAAATGACTGTAATATTTTTTCTGTCTATTCGAAATAACATAAAAAATGTGGTGCACACTTTTAAATAACCCGCTACGCGTGTTATTCAGTGTGCACCACATTTTTGATGTTATTTCTTCATAGACAGAAAAAATACTACAGTCATTCCTTAAATAACTTTCATATTTGAAAAATCCACCGGGGCCAAAATGCGAAACCAAACTCCTAACTGTGTATTGCTACCTTATAAAAATAAGAAGATGTGGTATGGTTCACGATGAGACATCATTCCATCAGAGACCAAATTAAGTAGAAGTGACACAGATATTGTATAACTGTTAACTACAACAGGCGGGGCCGCTTGTAAAAGTTTCGAAGAGATGACGTCAACCATTAGTTCAATAACTTCCCTGTAAGCAGCAACCCTCTATTAAAGAAATCATGATAGAAAAGACCTCCAATATCGTATAACAACTGGAGGATATATACTCCATGTACAAGTGCCACTTGGATGTTTTATAGGAATAAAGCGGCAATTGACAAATATAAAACAATTCAAACGAGAAAACTAACGACATGATTTATGTATAAAATAATGAACGAAAAACAAATATGATATACAGCAACAAACAACAACCACTAAATTACAGGCTCATTTTTGAAGTTAAGTTGATCAGGAATGCTCATACCCTAATATTTAATAGCCAGGGATGCTCATACCCTAATAGTTAATAGCCAGGGATGCTCATACCCTAATAGTTAATAGCCAGGGATGCTCAGACCCTAATAGTTAATAGCCAGGGATGCTCAGACCCTAATAGTTAATAGCCAGGGATGCTCAGACCCTAATAGTTAATAGCCAGGGATGCTATACCCTAATAGTTAATAGCCAGGAATGCTCAAACCCTAATAGTTAATAGCCAGGGATGCTCAAACCCTAATAGTTGATAGCCAGGGATGCTCATACCCTAATAGTTAATAGCCAGGGCTGCTATACCCTAATAGTTAATAGCCAGGGATGCTCAAACCCTTATAGTTAATAGCCAGGGATGCTCAAACCCTAATAGTTGATAGCCAGGGATGCTCAAACCCTAATAGTTGATAGCCAGGGATGCTCAAACCCTAATAGTTAATAGCCAGGGATGCTATACCCTAATAGTTAATAGCCAGGGATGCTCAGACCCTAATAGTTAATAGCCAGGGATGCTTATGTACTTGAATACATGAGGATCTATATGACTAAAGGGGCCTAAAATGATTAGCCAAATCCATCTAAGCTGATGATGTCAGCCGTGTTGACTAATTTGTAGATCTTATTTGCAGATCATTTTTGCTAATTACAGTTTCTCTCTACCTACTATAGTTTCTGCACAAATCACAAGAATGGGTAAATATCGTCATTGGCGGTCGAGAACTTC